GAGGAGGAGGAGGAGGAGGAGGAAGAGGAGTGTGGGGAGGAGGGTGAGGAGGAGGAGGTGGAGGAGGAGGAGGAGGAGGAGGAGGAATTCCACTCCCGTCCCTGCCCTGTCTCGAAGAGAAAAAACGACAAGCATAAACTTTCGGAGGTCCGCGGGGTTTCCTTGATTTCTGGACCCCTGGTGCGTGCAGCGCGCCTGGGCCGCAGGGTGGAACGGAGGGCAACGACGAGGATTTGAATTTCTTGAAGGCTCATCGGAACCCCTCGTGTTCTCTTCAACGGCCGCGCCCCGTCGATGGCTCTTCCAGACCCGCCCTGGAACGATTCACGGACTGACGTGCTTTCGGATTTCCCGAAGGCTGGACGACGAGCTGCATTTCTGCACGCCAGACCTGTCCTGTCCCTTCCTCCCTGCCCTCCTCCCCTCGAGACTTCTTCCCGTTGTCCCGACCAAGACCCGATCAAAGCCGATCCTCACACCCCTTGCAGGGTTCGTCCTGCACTGCTTTTCGAGCTGCCTGCAGCCGTGGCGACGAGGAGGCCCCCCCCCTCCGAAGGTCCGAGAATGACGATGAGGCCTCCCCCTTTGCCTTGGATCTCCGCCTGGTTCTCCGCCTCGAGCTCCTCCGCCTTGACCTCCGCCTCCGTCGCCTGGATCTCCGCCTCGAGCTCCTCGGGATGACCTCCGCCTCCGTGGCCTGGATTTCCGCCTCGAGCTCCTCCGCCTGGCTCTCCGCCTTCGGGCCGCCATCGTGGTTCGTCGCTGCGCCTCATCCCAAGTAGACTGCGCTGTGCACTGGGCTTTTTGCCGTCTCCCCGCTCTCCCCATCTCCAGCTGTGTTGCATCCGCAACGCAGCCATCCTCTCTCTCCAGCTCGGTGCTAGTCGTTGACCTGCACCGTTGCTGGCTCGCTCGCTCGCTCGCTCGCCGTCACCCTCCCTCAGATCCTGGCGCCCCACCCACCCGCGAGTGATGCTGTGGATCCCGAGGTCCCCAGAGGTCCCCGCGGGCCTCCGTCTCCACGGGGCCTCCAGAGGTCTCCCCTCTGGAGGTTTCTTGGAGGGCACGGCGGGAGCCCCGCCCCACCGTCTAAGCACACAAGCCCTCGATCTTCGAGGAGGGGAGAGGAGGAGGATCAGGAGGAGGATCAGGAGGAGGAGCAGGAGGAGGAGGTGGAGGAGGTGGAGGACGAGGAGGAGGGGCAGCAGGAGGAGGAGGAGGCGGAGGAGGACGAGGAGAAGGAGGAGGATGAGGAGGAGGGGCAGCAGGAGGAGGAGGTGGAGGAGGAGGAGGAGGAGAACGAGGGCGAGAGAAACAACGACGACGAGGATGACGACGACGACGACAGCCACGTCGCTGCTGTTTCTGTATTTCTCGGATCTCCCACTGCTCTGAGGCGGAGATGCGCGAGCTCTTCGCCCCTGGCCCACACGCCGACCGCATCAAGGAGGTCAAGCCGGAGGTCTGGCCACGGCCCCCCCGCTGGCCCAGAGCAGGGATCAGACTTCTCGGGCTCGCGGACCTGAAAGAGTCGGACCGCCGGATCCCTGGGTCCTCTGGGGGAGGAGGCAGGAGGGGAGAGGGGATCGAGGGTGCGGGTTTTGGACGTGTTCTCGGTCCTCTCGGGGCCTCCACGGGGCCCCCAGAGGGGAGGTCGGGTCGGACGAGAGGGAGGACAGGGAACTTGGGGGACTGGGAGCGGGGGGTCACGACATCCGCGGCGTGCATCAGGTTTCGGCCCCCGCCGCTGGGTGCCTTCCTCCGTCCAACGGCGCCTTCGGCGCCGAGACAATGGGCTACCTTAGCCGAGCCGCTAACCCCCCTTTGCCAACGCCCCCTGGTCGTCCGACCCGAGACGGGGGAGGGGGAGGAGGAGGAGGGTTCGGTTCGGCCGTCCACGAAGGGAGGGTCAAGCCTTCAAGTGGGGGCCTGTCCCTCTACAGGAGGAAAAGTCAAAAGTAGCAAAACAATAGTGTAGGGGAGGATTTTCCCACTTATTTTTTTTTGATTGGGACTGTTTCTGATTTTTCTTCAAAATCCGCCTGCATGATGACATGCCCGACCTAATTCAGGCCCTTCCTGCTGGCTGAGCGCGTCAGCTCATTTGGGGCCCGATTGTCGAAGCCGCCCTTGCAGCGGGCTCATCCTCGCCTCGGGAGCACGAAGCCGACGGGGGAGGATATGGAACGGCAGCAAGCGAGGCTCCAGATGCCACTCCAAAAGAGGATAGAGGCACGCAAGGTACACACGAGGCTCCAGAGGCCAGCAACATAAACAAACGACTGACGTCTGCAAAACACGCGTGAGGCTCCAGAGGCCATCAATAAAACACAAACGGTAGACCTTCGCCATCAGCGCAAGTGCGGCGACGGTAAAGCCTCTGGGCGACCCCAGCGGGGGTGAACCAAGGGAGTGCAGAGCCCCAGTCCGACCATGGCCTTCCCCACCCCCGTAGGGGAGGCGCCCCCAAGCATTGCAAACAGGGGCCCCACATCCGCCAGTCCTGGGGGATGTACACTCGTGTATGTATACCCTGCCCATCTGGCGGCACCGACCATTCGTCAGCTTCCAACCGACGAGTCCTTGACGGGGCCCTGCTATCCAAGGAATGGGGGCGAGGAGGTTGGGAGGGAAGGGAGGAGGGGGATGAGTCACGAAAGAAAAATGAGGATGGAAGGAGGGAGGGAGGGAGGGAAGGAAGGTGGGAGGGAGGGAGGGAGGAGGAGCAGGAGCAGGAGCAGGAGGAGGAGGAGGAGGAGAGCCACGAACCGCCGAGCGATCGAAGCGTGTTAGTGGCAGTGCTCCAGGGGGGACACGCTGAACCAGTTACCTTTTACCCTTCGCCTCTCACTTCCACATTCTACTCTCACCACTTACTTTCGTTTCTTCTTGTCACATTCAGGTATCAATCCCTCAGGTCACTACGGCCACGACGTCGGCACCCAACCCAGCTTGGCATTGTCGACAGTAGCAAGCAGCAACACGAATACTATTACGAGGCCGCAGCGCGTGAACTCTTCGGCCACGGCACCCAGTAACAGCTCGACTCAGCTCGTCAACGTCCTGCAGCGCACCACAGCGCTCAATAACCACCACTTGCTCCACTTCGCATTCCAGCGACGGCGACATCATGGGGGACAGCAGCGAGAGGATCGGGAACTGTGCCACCACCCTGGAGGTCGACGCCGAACCGCCCACGAAGCAGAGGAGCCACATCTCGATCTACTACGCCAGCGACCG